CAACGTCCACGCCAGCCCAATGCCTTTTGCTGTGCTCCTATCTCAGTTTAAATCTGCCTCCTCACAAGCGACCTCTTCTCTCAATTCTTCTACCAATACGCTTAGCCACTTCCACTCTAACCAACAAAGTCAGTCAAAACGTCTTGCATATACCGAAATGATGGTTCACCTTGTTCACCACGCCCTGGCCGCTGCGCTGCAAGTGTGTCAACAGAGCACTCATACGAACTATCCTCTTGACTCGTCTTGCCTATCCGGCTTCGCAGCTGATACACAGTCTTTGCGACGTCCCTGTCGGGCTCGACCTCGTTTTCACTTACCCCGGCGCTATCGCCAGCTTGCTAATTTACCAGACTTGCTGGAACGACCTTTTTCTTCAGGACTAAAGGCCTCGAACTTCGCTGTTAGTACGGAATATTCGACTAGCTCGACCGGAAGCCAAGATGGCTCTGCGTCTACAACAGGTTCGTTGGTTCGAGCCGCACTTGCCGCCGTAGAGTACGCAAGTGTGCTTGGCCGTGGTCTACTTTCAAAGCCGAGCAGCATTAGCCTTTATATGTTCGGCAGTGATAGAGAAAGTGCCGCTATTTCCGATAGGTTAGTGTTATTTAACTTTAGACAGTTCACATTTTGCTTTTATGTTCCACTCACAAATATTATTGCCTCAACCATCTGATACATTTCATTTTAGAAACAAATTAATTTCCATTTTAATGTATCTCTATACTCCATTGCTTTTTTTATTTTTCTTTAGAAAGAATAAAGATGCTGAAATCGCATCGGACGCTGATTGTGGAACCGGCTTACATTGTTCTGAAGGTAACGACACCTCAATTAGCCAGTCATCCTTGAAACCCTTGGCCAAAGGAACCAAAGATTCTGGAAAAATCCAGGATATGACCAAATGTACGGATAGTGAAGATGATGATGCCAGTGAGACCTGCGATGACTACAGGACTGATGATGGCGATGACGATGAAAATTTACAAGATAATGATGATCATAAAGAGGATCGGAAGCCTTGCAAGTGCAGTGATGGGGTTGTGAAGAAAACATTCGATGTCACTAAGTGCTCTTTATCTGAAACTGCTTTGCTGGCTCGCGTGGTATCGCTTGTTTATCTACGAGTGGCAAATTTGCTTTCTGAACTAGAAGCGGCCATCTCTCAGGCTGGCTGGGGTAAGAAGACTTATTTCCGTCCTTTTAATTTTGCTTCACAAAGTTTGCATGTATATTTTCTGGACATATAATCATCTAGCTTCGTTTTATACTCGTCTTTTCTTATGTTTCCCATACATGTTTACTCCATTTCTACGTATCATGAATAATTTTGCTAGTTTTATGTTATTTATATCTCACTTCCATTCACTTTAACCCGAGGTTTATTGAAGATATTTACTACTCGCTCTCTTTATGTTCTGGCTAACCGAAAGCCTTCTGTTAATCGAATACTCGTTTAAGCAAATTGCTTTAGACTAAACCAATCTTGCCTGTAGACTTTGATGCCATTCAGAATATCTACTTTTTTCATACTCAACTTAACCATAGATGAGCACCTGTGTTAGAACTCTTTTGTTTCAATCATTATTTTATAGTCGGTGCTGCCACGAGTACGAGGAGCTATGCAGGAAAAGTGCATTTGCCACGATGTTGTATGCCTCTTTTAATTAACGCAAGTCCCTTGTGAGTTGTATGATGAAGTCACTCTTGCTGATTCGACATCCTTGGACATATTCACCTCTGAGAAATCTGATGGGCAGGCTGCTTATGAGAATGTCCGTCGGACAAATAGTCTAAACCGGTGCATTTAGGATTTGGCCTGGGCCATTACGCATGCAAATCAAGCCTTATTTTCTTTTCATCACTGATCAGTTCGCCATTAGTTCCTATAATACCAAACCAAAATAATCTATTATGCAAATTTCTAACATATTAAACACTGATCTTATTCGAATTACAGATTCTGGGTTAAATTTGTATGCTTATGTTTTCAACTACAATTTCATACTTAGATATATTCTCGTTATTACTAGTCCCACACGAGTTCGTACATTGTACATATTCATGAAATTTAAGGCTTACAATA